CAGGGGTAAAATCAGTCGTCACAAACTTCCACCAGTCCTTCGCTCCCAAGCGAAGTTGGTTCAGTGCAAACCGAACTCTCAAGTGCTCCGGGAACGAACACGTATAGAAACACCCCTCAATGTCGAAGATCCATCTCATGGCAGCAATCGGGTCCTGGGTCCCATCAAACTTTGGTGGCTTCGTGTTGCTGAACTCTCGGAACAACAACGAGTCACCTCCCTGTGGCCTCGCAGCAGCTACGGCTGCGGTGGCTGCAGCAGCAGCAGCCTCCGTGACAGTAGCGTATCACTCATCAAACGTCTCAATCAACATGGTCTTAATAGACCCGAACATCTCTGGTATAGCCTCTCTGATAGCTGCGACAACCTCCTAATAAATGATCCTGCGGATCTCCTCTTCACTGGTACCACTGCTCCCGGGGTTGTTGCGGGTAATCACCATAGTGCCTCTGAAACACAAACACGAAAATCATCAGATACATTCTCAAGCACTCACGCCATTACCCACCCCCTACATGCTCCTTAGTATCCTAAGGTTCTTACTTGGGTCGCATATAGATTCGGTGCTTTCAGTAGTACGGTCCCAATACTACCTTCCACACCAACCTGTAGTTGTCCCAAGTCCTCCTCCTAGGATCCTAATTCACAAGTACTCTATCCCTCACGGATCTCAAACTACTCTCTCGGTAGATTCCTCAATGCTCATCTAGGTATATCTCCTAGATTACTCAAAACTCTCTCTAAAAGATTCATGATATGTATCCCTACTCAGCACACATACAGAGCAAATAGCAGATAATATCAATCAATAGTATTTCCTAGGCTAAGGCATCATGAATCAGGCAACTCTAGCCCTAAATCCCTGAAATACCTAGCCTATCCTCTAGCATGCAACTCTAATATCTCATAAGTATCTCATAATATAAACAAATAATGGTATTTTGGGAAATCACCGGGCTCTAGTTGATTGTACACACTGCTCCATCTCGTTTTCTCTTAAAAGCTCTTACTCGTTTTTAGAAAAATCATTTCTTTTTAGAAAATTTTCTCAAATCCTCAGTTTGAGTCCAGACATACCCGAGAGTACATCCGAATCCCTCAAACCAACGCTCTGATACCAACTTGTAACGCTCTAAATTTTCAAACAAAATTTTCATTTTTAAAATCACATAAAACCCAATATCACATTTCTCAAAAACCACCAAATGTATAAGTTATCAAAACACAAGTCAACAATTGTTTGATAATATCCCAGAATCCTAAAAAACATAAACTCCAACTCGTGTGTACAATCAAGTCGGCGCCTTCCCGCGATCCTGAGAAGTACCTGAAACACATATCACACAACACTATAAGCACGAAGGTTAGTGAGTTCCCCAAAATACCATGCACAAATAATTAGCCTCTCATGGCTAAATCTCAATAAGGACCCTCCGGTCATGTGTCTCACAGCTCGGGTCGGTCCCTCCAGTCCGGTATCTCAATGAAGACCCTCCGGTCTCACAACTTGGTTTGGACCCTCTGGTCCTAACTTAATAAAGCACAAAAATAATATACAACATAAATCACAAAGACAAAATGCATGATATCACATAACTCAGTATAAGCACATAAGACCCTCCGGTCAGTAACTCAAATAGACCCTATGGTCGATACTCAGATAAGACCCTCCGGTCACTCAATATTACCACTCAGGTAAGTATAGTGAGAAGACTCACCTCGTAAGCAAAGCAAATATGTCTCGTACTCAACGATTGGTCTCGACTCCGCCTACATGTCATAATCATCTCTAATTAACACTTTGTGATAACCACTCTAAAGATATTAAGTTAACCCCTTTACCAACTCTTGTAAAGGGTGAAAAGACCATTTTACCCCTCTATGGTCTCCATATCCATCACTTGACTAAACCCTAAAAGTCAACGGAAGTAAACACTCGAGTCAACAGTCCATGTTGACCCAACTCGTCGAGTGCACCTATGCGACTCGTCGAGTTCCTCCTGTTCTAAGAAAATCGGAAAAACTCAACTCAACTCGCCGAGTTGTCTCATCAACTCGTCGAGTTTTCACGTGTCCAGACTATTGGGGTAAACCCTAACCGACTCGTCGAGTCGGCCCATGCACTCGTCGAGTCCCTCTAGTCCAATTCTCATTAAGACGATTCTAAGCAGAAATAAAGTCCATAACTCTAGATCTAGCCTCCCAAGGCTGAAATACCACGTAAAGCTGCAAGCTTAACGTCCATGCATGACACCTAGGGCTCAAAATGCCAAAACAAAGCTCTATAGAAGGTTTAATGTTTGGAACTTGGACAATAGCTTGATAAAGCTTGGATCGTTATGCTTAAGGGACCTCATACAGTCCAGATCTGAAGTTTCAACTTCATGTCATGCTCAATGACTCAAAGGCTCAAAAAGGAAGATGGAAATGGCCACAAACTTCCTAAAGAAGAGATCTAACCAAACAATGATCAAGGTGATAGCTTTTTACCTCCATTTAGCAGCTAGTACTGAAGGAACATTGGATCCAAGGCCTTTTTCTCGTTCCAAAACTTTTGCTCCTCTATCTCCTTCCAAGAATGCACCAAATCTCACACTTTTAGCCTCTCTCTCTCTCTCTCTCTCTCTCTCTCTCAGATGATACCAGATCGTTTAGGGTTTCTCTCAGGGTGTTAAAGTGATAAGGGAGGCGAAAATGAAGGCTTAAGGTCCTTTATATACGGTACAAACCCTGAAAATTAGGGTTTTCTTACTCAGCACCTACTCGTCGAGTTGGGGTCCTCCAACTCGTCGAGTAGACTCTAAAAATCACGCGGGCATCTCCATCTCTACTCGGCGAGTTGGGGCCTCCAACTCGTCAAGTTGCCCTAAAAAATGAATATAATATAATTAAATATTATACTTGGGAGTCGGGATGTTACACTAAAGCTTGGCCATTAAGCACTACCTTCTTCAATGCACACAAAACACCACAAAATTACTTCCAAAGCTCAAGAACACACTATGGGAGGATAGGGTTTCAATCTTAGGTTATAGGGGATTGGAGGCTGACCAAAAGATACAACCAAGGTAACATAAGTTGCTTAAATAGGGCACAAACCCTAAGAGTTAGGGTTTGCCCCTGCTTAGCGTACGTCCTGCATACTCCCATGTACGCCCAACGTACGTGGGTGAACCCGCAATCCTGAAACGAGCTAGTACGCAAAGCGTACTCATAGAGTACGCCCCGCGTACTAGCTAGGGACGAAAAAGATAGAAATTTTGCATTAAGGGGTTAAAAGGGAAACATACCAAATCTCGAATGTTACAATACCAGAAAAAGTATAATTAATATTCAGGTTAACCCTATTGTCAAGCATTCCATAAGCTTTTCTTAAAAGCTGTCCATTTTTAGATCTTGAACAAAATCAAGTCACGTGTATTACAGAAAGTGAGAAAGTCAGAAACAATGGTCAACTCCAACCAACACAAAGATGGAGATGAATATATAATGGAAAAATGATTTACTAGGCCATAAATAATGCAAAATATATTTAAATGGTAGAAAATTTCACAGAAAAAGGAACAAACCTAGTCAGAAAGAAATCGAACTTTTCAAAATCACTAACTTCAAGCGCCTAATTTGCCTCTAGTTTCGTCCATATATTCCTTGCGTTCTTCAATAGAATACAAAGACATGGTACGAATCCAACCCCTCGTTTAGATGCAAATTAGCCTATTTAATCTCAAAGGTTGAAGCATAGCTACAATTTAATGCGAATTTCAAGAATATTAGGTTGATTTAGAGTAACCATAGACCGACTGATGCTGAATCAAAACAACTGATACCAAGTAAATATAGTTCTTACTTTTGTATCCTGCATTATATTTGAATATATTTTAGGGTTCAAGAAGCACAAAGATGAAAATATCGAAGCATGAGAGAATTTTGGGAATTAATTACTTTACACGATACACGTTTTCAACGACGTATGATGTGTGGGCGTCAACTCCTGCTGTACGCGTCGCCGATATCAGGTGTAAGCGTCGTCAGCGTATATTGGTGAGGCTTAATGGACTGGTGAAGCAAATTTGTGATGTCGAAACCTCCAGGAGGAAAAGAAAGGGGAAGAAGATTTAATGGCAGTGGGGAGGTTTTAGGGATTTTTTATCGGAAGAGAGAAAGAAGTTAAAAGCTACAATGATGAAGGCGGTGGAATAGCTGTTTGCATTTCATAGGAGGCAATGGACAACAAGGAAAATCAGGGACCAAATTTCTAATACTTAGAAAATAATATGGCTAAAATCTAAATCAGCAAAAGTAAGCGTTCATAAGACATGTATAGATTTAATCTCCCTCTTCTAATAAAAGAATAGTTTTATTCTCCTTTTGACACGTGTCACCATATTAGGCCTCATAATTAATGCATATATTTTTTTTACCACGTATCACTCTATTATGTCTCCTAATTAATGCATGCCACTTGTCAACTATTGATTTTTCATTTTAAATTTTAAATTTTAAATTTCCCACTCTAATTACATTAAATTAATAACATTAGAATAAAAATTAAAATAAAATTAACACAAATTATAAAGTGATATAATTTTACATATTTATTTAAATCAATTATTATAATTTTATATAATTAAAAAAAATTCTCTTAATTAATAATTTATTTAAAATAAATGATTAATAATTTTACATTTTTATTATTAAAGTTTAATTAATTTTGTAACTATTGTTATAAACTAATATTGTTATAAACTAATGTATATATATAATAGTAGACGAAAAAAAAAAAACTAAAAGCGCGGAGCTTTTAGGCCCAAGATACCATTCTAAGTTTTTAAGGGTGCCGCAGACTGGGCCTTCACCGGCTTAGAATTGATTAGGTGTTGATTGGGCCTGGTTTATGGGCTTGTGGGCCGGCGGCCTTTTGTGCACCTCTAAGGACTTAATCCCAAGTCCCAATATTTCCTAATTCCAATTTGAAAACAAACAAAAAACCCGTTTAGTCAGGAGAAGGAAAGTAGGAAACCCAGTTTCACACGGTAGGTGGGTAGGTTGCTTCTCCATAAATTGTTACCCAAGACACTCTCGGATCCTTCATCGTCTCGTCGTCCTCCATCACAACTTCCGGTTTCTTCTCAAAATCGGAGTATCCAATCCACCGTCGTTCGCCATGAGCAACCAACCGGAATCTTCTTCTTCCGAGCCGTATGTTATTGCTTACTAATCAATCGATACGTCTGATCTGATGCTGTTTTACGCTTTTGTCTCTGAGATTTGCTTCAATCGGACTCTGATTATTGTGTTATCAATTGAATTTTTTTTACAGGAAAGGTACGCTGCCGGCGAAAAAGGACTTTTCAACTGCTATCTTGGAGCGCAAGAAGTCTCCAAATCGGCTTGTTGTTGATGAAGCTGTCAATGACGATAACTCAGTCGTCGCTATGCACCCTACTACAATGGAAAAACTGCAGCTTTTCCGTGGTGATACCATACTGATCAAGGTTTTTTCCTTCTTCAGTATTAAAAGTTGACATTAGAAACCTACAGTTTTGTTGATATTTTGTATACTACGACGGTGATTATTGATAGAAATTCTGATACATGTGGTTAACATATTGATCTGCGATCATTACCTATGATCCTCAAACCTAAGGATAATAGAACATAAATATTATGAGAACCAATTGCTACCCCTTCCCAAAATCAAATCTAGTACTATGCAATTGAATGCCTTACACGCGTTCATTATGAAATTAACTCCAGCGTTATAATATTATTTCAAGCGAAGTTTTAGATATTTGCTGAAGTTGCAAACAATAGTAATGCTTGAGATCCATAATGCAGTTCTGTTTTTTTTTTTTTTTTAAACAGTGATTCTAGTTAGTGCGTGACAGTAACCTGTAAGTGTAAAATTTTTAATTCAAAAAGTTAAGTGATTTGGTTCATTGGTTGTATTTACTGACAACAAACGATTAAAAAGTTCATATAGAATGCCTGCGAAGAACTGAAAATTGAGCTGGTTTTGCTTGGATGTAGTACTCTTCTTTAATCGTTTGACTTCTGTGTCTTAAGCTCTTGAATACTCTTCATCTAATCCCCACTAACCTTTATGCTGGCTAGTTTTTGATGTCCTAATTTAAATTGTTGTTTACAGGGCAAGAAAAGGAGAGACACAGTCTGCATAGCCCTTGCTGATGAAACATGTGATGAGCCAAAGATCAGAATGAACAAGGTCATCAGGACAAACCTAAGGATTCGCCTTGGTGATGTTGTGTCTGTTCACCAATGTCCAGATGTCAAGTATGGAAAGCGCATCCATGTCCTTCCACTTGATGACACCATTGAAGGTGTCACAGGAGACATGTTTGATGCATATCTGAAACGTAAGTCTACTCACACAACATTTGATTATGTGTTTCTATCATAACTGCTCTCTAACTGGTCTAAATGGCATTCTTGCAGCCTACTTCTTGGAGGCATACAGACCCGTAAGGAAAGGAGACCATTTTCTTGTTAGAGGAGGAATGAGAAGTGTAGAATTTAAGGTAATTGAAACAGATCCAGGGGAGTATTGTGTTGTTGCCCCTGATACTGAAATCTTTTGTGAGGGTGAGCCCATCAAGAGGGATGATGAGGACAGATTGGATGAAGTTGGGTATGATGATGTAGGTGGTGTCAGAAAACAAATGGCACAAATTCGTGAACTGGTGGAATTACCATTAAGACACCCACAACTTTTCAAGTCTATTGGAGTGAAACCCCCTAAAGGAATCTTACTCTATGGACCCCCTGGTTCAGGAAAGACACTTATAGCCAGAGCTGTTGCTAATGAAACAGGAGCTTTCTTTTTCTGCATCAATGGACCAGAAATCATGTCAAAGTTGGCTGGAGAGAGTGAAAGCAATCTCAGGAAGGCTTTTGAAGAGGCTGAAAAGAATGCCCCTTCGATCATTTTCATTGATGAGATAGATTCAATAGCTCCAAAGAGAGAAAAGACAAATGGTGAAGTTGAAAGAAGGATTGTGTCACAGCTTTTGACACTTATGGATGGATTGAAATCGCGTGCTCATGTCATTGTAATGGGGGCCACTAATCGCCCAAATAGTATCGACCCTGCTCTTAGGAGATTTGGTAGGTTTGATAGGGAAATTGACATTGGTGTCCCTGATGAAATAGGGCGTCTTGAGGTTCTTCGAATTCACACAAAGAACATGAAACTTTCTGATGATGTAAGATATATATTTTTTCCCCTAAAATTTATTCGATCACTAATCAAGTGCTAACAAGTTTTATAATCTTAAACAGGTGGATTTGGAAAGGATAGGTAAAGAAACACATGGGTATGTGGGTGCTGACCTGGCTGCTCTTTGCACTGAAGCTGCACTTCAATGCATTAGAGAAAAAATGGATGTTATTGACTTGGAAGATGAATCTATCGATGCTGAGATTCTCAACTCCATGGCTGTCTCTAATGAACATTTCCAAACTGCCCTTGGCACAAGCAATCCTTCTGCTCTTCGTGAAACTGTATGTTGACCTTTTGACTTTTTATTTTTAGTTCATAACATCATGTAATTATTCATCATTCATTATTGGTTTAAAAACAGGTTGTTGAGGTTCCAAATTGTAGCTGGGATGACATCGGAGGCCTTGAGAATGTCAAGCGTGAGCTTCAAGAGGTAACGAAACTCTGAAATTATGAAATTGAGAAATTACCGTTTTGCCCTTTTGGTTTTTTCTAAACATTTTTTTAAAAAAAATTTCAGACGGTTCAATACCCAGTGGAGCATCCGGAGAAATTTGAGAAGTTTGGTATGTCACCATCGAAAGGAGTTCTGTTCTATGGTCCACCTGGATGTGGAAAGACACTTTTAGCCAAGGCTATAGCAAATGAATGTCAAGCAAACTTTATCAGCATCAAAGGACCCGAACTACTAACAATGTGGTTTGGTGAAAGTGAAGCCAATGTTCGTGAAATTTTCGATAAGGCTCGTGGATCCGCGCCCTGTGTCCTCTTCTTCGATGAACTTGACTCAATTGCAACTCAGGTGAACTTTTTTCCTCAAATAATAAAGAGTAAATTACAAGTTTAGTCCCTGTAGTTTAACCTGTTGTAACTTGTAACTTTAATGATTACAGAGGGGGAGCAGTTCTGGAGATGCTGGGGGTGCTGCTGACCGAGTTCTGAATCAGTTACTGACCGAAATGGACGGAATGTCTGCAAAGAAAACCGTTTTCATAATCGGGGCAACTAACCGACCCGACATCATCGACCCGGCGTTACTACGTCCGGGTCGTCTGGATCAATTGATTTATATTCCATTACCAGATGAAGACTCCCGTCACCAAATCTTCAAGGCTGCTATGAGAAAATCACCTGTTTCAAAAGATGTTGATCTGCGAGCTCTTGCTAAATACACTCAAGGCTTCAGTGGGGCCGACATTACAGAGATATGTCAACGCGCGTGCAAGTACGCCATCCGAGAGAACATCGAGAAAGTAATATTTTAATTTTTTTTTTATATTATTTATATAATATAATGTTTGGAAGGTTGGTTGCTAAAATATAATGATGGAATTGTAGGATATAGAGAGGGAGAGGAAGAGAAGCGAGAATCCCGACTCCATGGATGAAGATGAGGATGAGGTTGCGGAGATTAAGGCGGCTCATTTTGAGGAGTCCATGAAGTACGCACGCAGAAGTGTGAGTGATGCGGATATAAGAAAGTATCAGGCTTTTGCTCAGACGTTGCAGCAGTCGAGGGGATTTGGGTCCGAGTTTAGGTTTTCCGAAGCGACATCTGGCGGTGCTGCGGCTGATCCGTTTGGTGCGTCTGGTGGAGCAGCAGCGGAGGATGATGATTTATATAGTTAGGTTTTATTTATTATAGCTGATTTCTGATTTCTGGATTTACGTCTGCATTGTCAGATTTGAACATATAAGTTTATGTATGGTTAACTTGCCCCCTTTCTTTGGTTGGAAATATTTGCGTCTCTTGTTTCATCTTCTATTTTGGTTATGTATGACAGTATGAGGCATAATCGAAGTATATTTATAGTATGCAAATACAATTTACAATATACAGTTCATTAGTTTATACTTTATAATCACAATTACAGTATAATTTTTCAAAGCATGTGAATATTATGAGGATATTTACAATATTTGTACATGATGATACGATTTTCATGTAATATATTTCGAAATTACATGTGTTCATGTATATAAAATAATAAAATATGTAAATGTTGGGAAAAGAATAAAGGTAAGTAATAATATTAAATTAAATACCGTGATAGGGCCAACTCAGAAATCTTCGAACTTAACAACTTAAGAAATCTTTTTCAAAACTCGCCAAACAAGATGTCGATCCAAAAAACCCTCCAAAACCTCAAATGTATCAAGAAGTATGGCAACCACTCGCCAAACAAGATGTCGATCCAAAAAACCCTCCAAAACCTCAAATGTATCAAGAAGTATGGCAACCTTCCTACCAACACCCACCGGAAAGTTGCCGATATCAAGAAGTATGGCAACCTTCCTACCAACACCCACCGGAAAGTTGCCGAGGTCGTCATCTCCTACGCCTCCAAAACAACCGCAACCACTGAAACCCCTGCTGCCGTTCTCTCCACCCTTACTTCCGACATAGTCAGATTGGTTCTCTCAGACAGGCGTATAAAGACTCGCGAATGCCTATCGTTCTTTAACGTCATCTCAGAAAACCGATCTTTAATCCCGTTCACGATCGAAATAGAACACTACGTGACACTAATTCACAGGGCGATAAACTCAAGGAAGTTTGAAGATGCCGAGACTCTTATAAATTCATTAGCAAATGATGGAAATCTCAGGTACCCATTTTCAGATGTAGTTTCCCTTGCTGAGAGCCAAGGTTTTGATTCTAGGATTTTGTCAACATTTTTTAACTTGATGCTAAAAGTTTATTCGGATAGTGGGAAGTTCTTTGCGGCTTTTGAGACTTTCAATTATATGAGAAACAACGGGATTACAATTGATGAGATGACGTGTGGTATTTACTTGACTGCACTCCTGAGATGTGAACATTTAGGATTAGGTTTAGTTTTCTTTTACAAAATGGTGGAATCTGGTATGGATGTTTCGATTGTGATTGACGGATTGTGTCAAAATGGGGAGATCAGAAGGGCTAGACAATTAGTTGAGGCGGTGTGCAGGAGTGTTGAACCTAATGTGATTACTTTCAATACTTTAGTCAATGCATGCTGGGAAAGAAAGAATCTTAAAGAGTTGGATTTGGTATTACTGTTGATGGAGAAGGAAGGGGTGGAGCGTAATTTGGAAACATACAAGCTTATAATAGATGGGTTTTTGAGCTTTGGGAATCTGGGGGGTGCTGAAAGGATGATTGCGGAGATGCATGACAAAGATTTCCACGTGGGGATCTATCTGTGGAATTCAATCATTCACAAGTACTGTAAATCAGGTAGGATGGAGAGTGCATTCCAAGTGTTCGATGAAATGCTTCACAGAGGTGTTGCTCCTAATGCACATACATTTCATATCATGGTTAGTGGGATTTGTGGGATTGAGAAAATGGAGGCTGCAAAGGAGTTAGAAAAGAAGATGGTGAGGAATGAGATTGAGTTGGACCATGATATTTTCAGTGATTTGATCAATGGGTGTTGTAAAAAGGAGAAGCTTGATGATGTTATTGACCTGCTTTCAACAATGGAAAAGAAAATTGACAACCTTCCATCCACCACCCAAGTAGCTTACCTGAAAATTGCTGATGTCATCATCTCCTCTGCCACCCAAATATCCACTGCCACTAAAACCACCGCCGCCATTCTCTCCACCCTTACTCCCAACATTGTCAGATTGGTCCTCTCAAATCGGCGAATCAAGACTGGAAGATGCCTATCATTCTTCAACATCATCTTAGAAAATCAATCTCTACTCCCATTCAAGATCGAAACAGAACACTATTTAACACTAATTTGCAGGACGATAAAGTCATTTAAGTTTGAAGATGCAGAGACTCTTATAAATTCATTAGCCAATGAGGGGAATCTCAGGTACCCATTTTCAAATGTAGTTTCTTTTGCTGAAAGTCAATGTCTTGATCCTAGAATTTTGTCAAAAATGTTCAATTTGATTCTAAAAGTCTATACGGATAGTGGGAAATTCGTTGCAGCTTATGAGACTTTCAGTTATATGAGAAACAACGGAATTGCAATTGATGAGAGGACTTGTTTTATTTACTTGATTGCCCTCCTGAGATGTGAACATTTAGTGTCAGGGTTAGTTTTCTTTTACAAAATGGTGGAATCTGGTATCGATGTTTCGGTTTATTCTTTGACAATTGTGGTAGACAGATTGTGTAAAAATGGTGAGATCAAAAAGGCTAGAGAATTAATCGAGGCTATGTGCAAGAACATTGAACCTAATGTGATTACTTTCAATACATTAGTGGATGCATGTTGCAAAAGATGGAATTTTAAAGAGCTTGATTTGGTATTGTTTTTGATGGAGAAGACAGGGGTGGAGCTTAATTTAGAAACCCACAAGTTTTTAGTAGACGGGTATTTAAGCAGTGGGAAGCTTGGGGATGCTGAAAGAACAATCATGAAAATGCATGATAAAGATTTGAGTGTGGAGATCTATTTATGGAATTCAATCATTTTCAAGTATTGTAAATTAGGGAGAATGGAAAGTGCATTCCAAGTGTTTGATAAAATGCTTCAGAGAGGCGTTGTGCCTAATGCAGAGACATTCCGTATCATGGTTAGTGGGATATGTGGGATTGGGGAAATGGAAGCTGCAAAGAAGTTGGCAAATAAGATGCAAAGGAAGGAGATCGAGTTGGGGCATGATGTTTTTGATGATTTGATCAATGGGTGCTGTAAAAAAGGGATGCTTGATGATGCAGTTGGACTGCTTTCAATGATGGAAAAGAAAGGATTGTTTGGTGATGCGCGTTTGTATAACATGGTCATTGTTGGTTTATGTGAGTTGGATCGTGTTGAAGAAGCAAGCAGACTTTTGAGCATTGTGGTGAAATGTGGAGCAACCCCTGAAACAAGTTTTATCCAGTTTTTGGCAAATGGTTAAAACTTAAAAAAAGTATTGTATGCTTTTGATTGAACCATGGTCTTATACACATTGGAATTGAGCCATGTGAAATAGGCTCACCACATGCCATGAATCCAGAAGGGTAAGTAAAGATTGTGGAATGAGTGATGCCGATTCCTCTGGACAACCAATACAAGAAGCTCAAATCGCATGATTTTGAACTAGAGCTCAGTGCATGCAGACATTTAAAAGATGTGTGCTTCCTGCAAGTTGCATCAAACACTAGCAAAAAGCCTTTCACCCAAGCTCATGACCCATGGTATGCACCAAGGCTTGCTTCTTTGATTTAATGGTGAAGTTTTGAGGTTTCTGGTTGCTTTGTATTTCTGATGGTTCATTGTAGATTGAGTATCTGTTGTTAGATGTATTATTCAACACATTTCATTATGATTTTTATTGATGACATTCCTATAACAAGTAATAATAAGTATATGCTATGTGAGACATAGTTTCTCACCAAGAAATTTTGACATGTAAGATCTCAATGAAGCCTCTTATGTTATTGGCATGAGATACACCCAAAAAGGACTTATTGAGAAGTTAATAACCCTGGTCCCATACAAATAGGGTGAGCGGAGGTAGGATGATCGGCAACCCCTATCATTGGATAGAGAGACTGCTTTCGTAGAAGACCTCTGTCAAAAAATAATAATATAATAATAATAATAAATAAATAAATAAATAGATAATTTATACACATGCGTCCACACTAAAAAAATCCCTGCATAATATTACTATAAGTAAAAATATCAACTAATGATGAAGAAACAATGATGTGTGTTTGAGGAAAGAACTACTAGAGGAAATCAATCTACGAATAGATGATTAAAAACAAGTCAAACTTGAATGGACACACAAATAATTATAGTAGATAGTTAAAATGAGTCGGAAGTAGATACTAAGAGCATACGCTGAATTTATAGGAACCAGGAGTAGGTACGTGAAAATTTATTAGTCAACAAAGAAAAATAAGTTAGACCCTGAATTATAACACTACTCTGGTATCTTAATTTTAAGTCTCCACTCTCTTTTATCATAGGTCGTGTCCTTGGTAAGAGTTAACTCTTTCAAGTCTAACATCACACTATCTTCCACTTCCTTTTTGGTTGACCTCTACTCTTTGCACCCTCGAGTGTGATCGTCTCCACTTGCCTAACAACGACCGATGGTTGTCTTCTATGGACATGTCCAAACCAACACAATCTTCATTCCCTTAATGTCAATGATCGACGTCACTCCCAACTCATTCATAACTGCCGTGTTTGGTATCTTGTCCAACAACGTTCTACCACATGACAACCACAACATTCACATTTCTGCGACCTCCATCTTCCTCTCATGTTTTTTTTAATTGACCAACATTCATATTCATACAACAAAGTTTGCTAATCGCTACCCTATAAAATTTCCTTTTTTTATTTTTAAGAGCACCTTCTTGCCACACAAAATTCTCGTTGTTGCCCTCCATTTTAACCATTCCGCCTTTATGTGGTATCTAATATCATCCTCAACATTCCCTTCCTTATGGATAATAGACCCCAGGTACTTGAAACTCTATTTTGGGTGAAAAACATGCTCATCAATACAAACTTTGATTCTTTCAACGTTCTGCTCCCCACTAAAATTACACAAACTATATTGTCTTAGTAGTGTTGATACGAAACCCCTTTTCTTCAAATGATGTCTTCCAGGTATCCAACCTAGCATTCAACTCAACCCTAGACTCTGCCATGAGAACCATGTCATCATCAAAAAGCATCCACCATGGGGATTGGGGTCCCTTCTTGGGTCTCACAATAGATAGCGTCCATAATCAAAGCAAATAAGTACGGGCTAAGAGCCGATCCTTGATGAAGCTCAATTTCAACCGAGGCTCTGTGTCACCAATTGCAGCCCGGACGCATGTTGTAGATCGACAATACATATCTCGTATAGCCCTAACATAGCTCATCGAGACACTATCATATGCCTTTTCAAGGTCAATGAACGACATGTGGAGATCCTTATTTTTTCTTGATATTTCTCAGAAGAATTATATTAATCTGTTTCTCAATAAATACATCATGCAAATCTATTCCCCTACTGCTGCCCGTGTAGTAACGGTGGAAGAGTTTGGTATATCAATAAACTCGCAGTGAAAGAGGAAATTTACAAGGCATAAGTCGATAATATAGGAAGAAGAAAAGAATTAACTAACTAAAACTAAAACATGATTATAAAGACTTTATCTATAGTCTCATATAAAGAATTCTAAAGACCCTAAAACTCCTAAATAAAAGAAAATAATGACATAGAACTAGGAAACTTGGAAACATGTAAACAACTCCCCACTTAAGAAAAATTCGGCTCTCTCATTCAGTAGACTCCAAAACCATCAATGCAACATAGACATGATACCAATCTAACCCTGGTTTAGACCATTGGAAAGCAACCATGAAGGTATTATACTTACAATGGACAAATGAGTACCTATCGACTTATAGGCAACAAATACCCTTGAAGTTGGTTATTCCGGACTCTAATTTTGCGAAATGAATACATAACAAGAAATCAACTTGAGTGTACATATTCATGCCATCACGAGGGCCAATATCTTAGAGGAACGTTATGGGTGGACTAAAATTCATTAACTCCATCAAGTTATACTTTGATAATAATGTCGTTATCAGTTTTTCGAACAATACTAGTTCAGTGGAAATAGCCTGGCTTATAATATGCTATGAAATTACTATGACTATTTTTTATTCATATCAATTGTGGTTGCATCTTTCACATTATGTTGCATTTTGTCTTGATCTACTGAATATTGTCAGAACATTTATTAGAATGAAGGACAAATTTTATTATTTGTAACCATGTGAATGTGTTTTGTATCGCCATGACTTTATACCATATTCATACTATGTGGACTTATGCAATCTTTAATTTCATGGAAGCACTAAACATATATTTGACGAGGTCTCAACTAACCATATATCCTTCCTACTACAAAATACAAACACAAAGTTACATTCTTAAATTCCAAGTTAACAAAGACAACAACCCACAAAACTAAAGTTAAGGATGATCAGGCGATAATGTAGCAGTAATCCTGGACAATGTTGGGCTCAATGGCCCATCCTTACCAAAGCACGAAATACTATGCGATCTTCTCTTCACCTTAAAGCTTCCAGAATACAAGAGCCTTTTCTCCTTGATCGCATAACTAGGGTTTGGGTGTCCTGAATCAGGGCTTGGCTCACTTTTGGCTCTCAAAAACCGGTCAAGATTTTGACTATACTTGTCCCCATAATGGTTGCTATTAACCGCATTATGTTGCTTTAGCTCATCATCAGTAAAGTAACCATTTTCTTGAATATCTTGCATTGCCAGGTCATCATACTCCTCATCTGATTTAGTCGACTCTTCATCCACTGAACCTTCCATCTGTAAAACAAATCCATCAACATTATGTCATCAACAACCAAAAACAATATGTAAATGCATGTGTTATGTAATATGTGTACCTCTTCATGCATATGTTCTTTAGCATCATCACTAAGATCTTCATCACTATCTACATCTAGTTGATCATCAACCTCTTCATCGCTTCCAAACACCGATTGCTCTTCCTTCAACTAAAACCAGTATATATCAATCAGAAAACATAATCAAGTGAAAGAGAGAGAAAAAGGGTATTTTGGTCTTGTTTGATTACCTCTTTAGAAGGTCCATCAGAGGCCTTAGGCGAGCTGCAACATGAAGAATGGTATCTACTACCATTGTCAGTAAGCTCGCCTCTTGACTCATCAACACTACTTGCATGACTAGTGCACCCAAGGTCACTAGGCCAAGCACTGATTCCAAAGTTACCAAATTGGAGATTCACAGGTTCCGCTTTTCCAATCTGTAATGGTCCATACATCGGAATCCCAATTCCTATTCCGTTTCCTATTCCTATTCCATTACTCTCGTCAGTTTGATGTCCTAAAACCGGCTTCCCATCCGCATCTACAGAACAAACAGGCCATGCTTTTGCAACAGATCCATCATCATTTAACAGGGCCATTAAATTCCTTGAAGAGCCTTGCCTTTGGATCAACTGAAACATTCCCTTTGAGCTGAGTGAGTTAGCGACACATTGATTCCTATATTCCTCATCAATTACAAAAACCGTGTTAGTGGTAGAATCATAAAGCTGTTCTCCAGCTTCACGTCTTCTTAAACAGCTGAAAACTGTCGCGTGTATAGCTGCAACACTTTTATCAACATTGGTGTTATTTACTTTTGGAACTAGATGTTTGTCTGCTCGATTGCAAAGGTACTCTTGGATTGTTCTGATGTTTCTTATGTACTTTACATATTTGTTTTTTGCAGGGTCTAAAGTCATGTACTTTGCACGAACTGCAAATCTTTCCATGTGTTTGTCCTCATTTGTAATGTATATCATGAATGGGATGATGGATGGATGTTTCTTCATTAACCCCATCTGCATTTTTCATAAAAACTTGGCATCAAGAACGTAAGTTAGATTTCCAAAGTGGAAAAAGATTCAAACTTTTTTATCATACCACAAAGTTAAGGCTCAAGTGAACACCCTCAACAACGACTGATTCTTTCCTTTCTTCCCATGCTGTGATGAGTCTATCAAGACTATCAATGACCATCTCACTTTGTGCTTTAAAGCCTTCAATTGCCATTTGTTTAGGGCTAATTAAGTCAATTGTAGTAGAACCACCTTCTTTAGGTAGAGGAGGTAGTGATGTTGAAGCATCAGAAGGACCTGTAGTCTTGAATTGTGATTGAGGGGAAGTTGAAGAACTTCCTTGTTTTTTTGCTTTTCTTTTGGCTTTGGCTTCTGAAACAGCTACTGGATCTAGATGTTCTCCTGCATGGTAAGTAGATGACCATAGGAGTGGATTTTGCTTTTCATCAACAAAGCTCCTCATCATGTGTCTAATCGAGTCTGTAGATACAACTGTTGTGATCCCTAATCTGCTAGCCTACACATTTCATTTCATTTCATGGGTCAACATCTACATACTTCAAACTGTAATAACAAATCAAGAATCTTGAAATTACCAACAAAGCAGACAATGTAGATTTGCCACATCCACTGGTACCACAGAGTAGCACTGTCACAGATTCCTTTCTTTCTCTGATTCTGTAAAAGAAGAAGAAGAAGAAGAAGAAGGTAAGAGGCTATGTATTCATGATTGGATTTGGATAACATACATTATATATTTAAAGACATACATACCTGCAAGCTAAAACCAAATCAGCCCTCTGATTGGGACCAACATACTTGTATTCAGCAAGAGCATCACAAACAACATCTATGAACCTCCTCCTTTTGACAACAACTGTAGTACGCTTTTTGTAAGATTCAAAAGGTATGCTTCTTATTTTATCATCATTCTTTGAAACCGTGTTGCTGCTTTCTCCTTCCTTGTCTGATCGGCTATCAGTCACACGGCTGTTTTCTTTACCAGGGAGAACTTTTAAGAAATCTTTTCCTGTTTTGATGACACCCATGGCAGCTAAAGTGTCCCCTAAGCATTCAGTTCTCATGATTTCAAAGACCCTTTGGCTAATCTGGTAAAAGAAGCAGATTGTATTCAGTGCAGGTGTATAGGTTATTGCATGAAGTTGTTTAATGGAGAAATAGAAACAAAATTATACATGCAACAGGAGTAGAATGCATCAGAAGTATAGCTTTTGATCTAAGAAGTGAATATGTTGGATGGTATCAAAAGCTTAAGGTTTAGCATGAGATCCATGGATCATAATACTAAAAATTCATAAAGATCCAATCTTCTCTTACGAAAAGCATTAGAAAATGTGTACAAGCTTGCACTTTTTTGTTGCAATAATTGACTTTTCCTACATAAGTGGTTAACAGGCTATCTTAAGTCTATGAACTTTCATTCAATTTCATAAGAAAGAAGAAATAAAAATAAAAGCAGCAAGTTCCAACATAAAAAGAACGGATGAAATTGGCGAACCTTGAAGGCGTGACGTGCTTTACAACCCATCAACTGCAAAGTGCTCTGAAGAACATGACGTGTGTACCTAAATGTCAATTCTTCATTTCCTTCCCTTTCCTCATCGCCACCAAAATCATCCTCCACCACTATGTACAACAATTTCGCCACCTCCATCTTCTACGCAAATTTCTCCGTTTCCTCTGTCAATTTGCAAATAAAAAAGCAAAAAAAAATCAAGTCGGATCGAAACATCGCAATGCGGATTCGAAAAAGGAAACAAATGTAGAACAAGTGCAAAGCTTCCTTACGTGAGAAAAGGAAGATCGTGTGATATAGTTGAATCAAAAATCACAGATCAATGCAATGGGTTGTTTGGAAGGGGTAGGGAATCGGCATTTGAACAAGGGAACCTTGTTATTATAACGATGATGATCAGTAGTGGAATAACAAGAAGAAGAAGAAGAAGAAGGGGGGTTCCAGAGCGATGTGGTCATTGTTGGTGTGTCTGGCACCTGCATCCACGCATCAGCGTCTTCAACACTCCACGAGTCGTCTCCCCCTCCACTTTCTCTTTCTCTCTCTTTGTTAAATTTTTTTGTCGGAAATTGTTTGACGAATTTGGGCTGAACCTTTCAAACAGAAAGAAACAAGAAACCCTATTTAGTATTTATTATATTATGAGAACACGATTACGAGTGACTTTTATTTTATATTGTGTAGGTCCTTCCTTGCCTTTCTCCCTAATCTCCGAAACTATTTATACATCTTTCTTTCCTACCTTTTTTTTTTTTTTTTTTTTTTTTTTAATAAAGAACTTCCTAATGAGGTTCCAGACCAGTTTTCATTCACCGATTAATCCCAGCTGCAAACATAAGGCTATGTTAGAGCCACTGTAGGCGAACCTCCATGACCACAATGGTTGAGTAGTGTCAAGATTTGAATATGAGTCAATAAGTTATCCACCATATCCTCCACATGTTTACCAAGTCACCACAACCCAAATGGTTATTCTTACCTATCTTTATTGTTACACATAATGAAATCATATTTATTACATAGCATTTGGTATGCGTTAATCGAATAGAAAATCTTTATTGTTATACATAATGAAATCATAATTATTACATAGCATTTGGTATGTGGTAATCAGATAGAAAGACGGAATAAATATTGTTTGATTGTCATAAGAAATATAATGGAACATTCTATTCCTTCTCATTGAATTTATTACATGGAAAATGGATGCAATTTTTCATTAATGGAACGATCTATGTTTATATTTATAAATTAGTTTTATTCATATAGTTCTCAATAGTATTAATCTTTTTAAAGTTTTCAAAACTTCAATTAAAAACTTGGCGTAAACAGTTTTAAAAGTTGTTGCATGCAAAGCAGGAAAACACAAGAAAACATGTATGGAAAATCAACATGTGTTTATATTATTCACGTTTGATGCATTTAGTATCATTGCACAAGAGGTTGTGGAGCAATAAAGTCCAAATGATTATACATAGTGATGTTATGTACCTAATATTTGTAGATGTCATTTTTAAAAGAATAAATTTTGTTATCCAAAAAGGATTAAGAGCGCAATTGGTTGTCCACTTGCATTCCAGTTCGAATTAAATTGTTATCTTGCAATGTAAGTTGAATGGCAAAAAAAATTAAATACGTTTTTATTTTTTATTTATAATAACATTGAGTTAGTTTCTGATTATCCATTGGTAACAATGGGCACCATGGAAGCCGCATGTATGGTGATTTTTTTTTTCTTTTTTGAGATCCCTGTGGCTGGTGCCCCCCAAATTATGTTTAGAGTGTACAACTGATATTATTTTGAATATTTGTTATTTTGTAATTAGGATTTATTCCACAAAAACCATTATATATGCAATCTTGTCTTGGTTTAGCTATAGTTTTTTTTTGTTCTTCATTTGCCATTATATTTTGGAAAACGTTTAATTTTTTAGGCCCTTGGTCGGTCACCAACAGGTCATGATGACGTGTCGGTTTCGTATTTTTTTCAGTTTGTATTTAGTCCAAATATTTATGTATGAGTTTTCATTTAACCACAACATTTATGTATGAGTTTGTATTTAGCCCCAACATTTTTTTGTTCCCCATTTGTTATTTTTTTTTTAGAATTTTTTTCATTTTAGCTATTGGTCAGTCACAAATAGATATTTTAAAGAGTAAATGTCACTATAGCCCAATCAACTATCGTCATTTATCCGATTTGATCACTAAAGTTTTTTTTTTTGCTCGATAGGTCATTAAACTTACAACTTACATGTCTATTAAGTCACTTTCGTTAGTTTTTAACAGATCCTCCGTTAACCAGATATTATAATTTACAAGAATGGTCCCTATGGTTTCAATTTCTTTTGTGTTTGGTCCTTTACTAGCATCGCTCATCACCTTCACCGCCACCGTTCACTTTCGGCACCCACCAACGTTCACCTCGAGCAACCCCACAATTTTTAATTTAGAGTTTAGTTTACCGGTCGATTTTAAGTAAAAATATGATACATTTGGAAGAAACTCCAACCAATTAAATCCTTTAAATCGACCAAAAATATGCTAGATCACTAAAAAGGGTCATCTTAGAGGTTTGCAAACTGCATTAAATATTATTTGGTGAAATAGTTGCATTAAAAATGATCAGTTTTTAATATGGGGTTCTTATCGCAAATAAAAATGTATATGTTGGTAGTGAACTGCATTTAGTGTTGCATGGTGTAACGATTTCATTCGGAGAATCCAATTCAAATATACATGCCATGTATATACTTTGTGAAGGTAATGAGTATTGATGCATTATCTGTAAGAAAAAGTTAACTCATGAATATTTTGTTGGTAATTAATTTCTTATTTAGCAAATAGACATTGTTACATTTTTATTCAATGTTGATTATGATAAAAAAAAAAATTGCATTCTTTAAAATTGAAACTCGCTGAAATTATATTTTTTTATAAAAATTAAAATCAATTGAGATTTTTTTGTGAGTGATCGTATGTAAGAATAATGGTTAACGGGGTTGCCCGAGGTGAATGGTGGTGGTTGCCGGAATTGAACGTTGGTGATGTCGGTGATGAACTGTGTTGGTGTGGGACCACCAACGAAAGAAATTGAAATCATAGGGACCATTCGTGTAATTTATAATAATTGGTTAACGGAGGATATGTTAAAACTAACGAAAGTGATTTAATAGACATGTAAGTTGTAAGTTTAATGACCTATTGCGCAAAAAAATACTTTAGTGACCAAATCGGATAAATGATGATAGTTGATAGGGCTATAATGACATTCACCCTATTTTAAAATATAATAACTTAAAATGGAAAAAAGGAAAATACGAAGTCAAGAGTCGAAACTGTGACTTCTCCTTGAGTGGTATGGCGTGTTAGTTACTAAGGCCCCGTTTGATAGTTGCTGACTGGAAAATATCTGTTTGGGTAAGAATTCCTGACTGAGTAAGAAACAATGTTGTTTGATTGTACATCTGACTGAATGTGCTGACTTATGAAAAATAATCATTTTACCCTGTTGCTCTATATAGTGATGGATAAAGTTGCTAAATAATTATAAAACATACATATTGTCATACAAAATGTAAATTACACACAAATCATTTAAAAATCCAAATAAAAATTAAATGTAAATTAAACATAAGTAATTTAATATCTAAATAAAAACATAATGAAATTTAAAATAACATAATAATTTAATGTAAAGTAGGTGAAAGTAGTTGATTTGCAATATGATCACACAAAAACATGCATATATTGAACGGCTTCTAGACCCCATTCTATGTCTTGTATGTTTTCTCTATCAATTCCTCCACCTTGGACGTCAGGAGTAACCATAGTGTTCTTCTCAAAATTTGAAAACAAGTCATCTTGTATATTGTATTTCCTTATAAAATTATGGACCGCGACACAAGCAATGACTATGTCTCTTTGCACTGTAAAAGGATAAGGAGTCATTTGTTTTAAGATTGGGAATCTCGCATTCAATACACCATAAGCACACTCAATAACATTTCTAAGTTGTGCATGAGCATGATTGAACTTTTCTTCTCTAGTTAAAGGTCTGCTTCTTCGAAAATCGGCTAACCAATACCTAGTATTGCGGTACAGAGCCATAAACCCGCGAATGTTTGTATATGCGGCGTCACAAAGATTATAAAGAAGATAGATAATAAAAGTTATGTAAAGATTACAAACCTGGTGGAGGAAATGGAAATCCAGAAGTCGGATTGAATGCAACTTCTTTCAAAACTCTTGAATCATGTGCTATACCCTCCCATCCAGCCCAAACAAAGGTGAATACCATATCAAAATCACAAATTCCTATTACATTTTGAAAACATTCACCTTTTCCTCTTCCCCTATAATGAGTTTGTTGATCAACGGGCACAACCGTATGTACAAGAGTTCCATCTAATGCACCTATTGCTCCGGAAAAAATCTCTTTTAACCGTCTATGTCATTGAGAGTTATGTCTTGTTGGATTAGGAGTTGTTAGTGCTATAATTTCTTTTGCAAAACACATCATTGCAGTTAGGACCTCATTAAAACATTGATGAATCGTTTGTGTGGAGTGGTGAAATCTTCCCTTAACCGCGCGAAAACGTTCGTTATGTCCTATAACATGTAAGAACATAACCATCTTCTCTACAATGCTTATTGTCCTACTAGATTGCATCCAATTTTTTTCGGTAAAATGGTAGCATAATAATGCAAATGCCCCTTGTGTAAGACGCATCATATCGTAACATTGTGTAGGGTCTCCGTGTATCAAATCTTGCGTATACGTATACCCGCTTGAACCGTTATCTCTTATTCTATGAATTTTGTTTAGCCTTCGCCGGTTTGACCTTAACCAATAAAACACAAGTAAAAGAAAAGCTACAACTTCACCATCAGAAACCATACTTGACCTTTTATAAAAAATTACTGATAACACGTTAAAATAAAATAAAAATCATGCACCAAAAAACTAGTAAATAAAAAAAATCATCTTCAATATCCAATAACATAACATCCAAAGTAACAAAAGTTGTCCAACAAAAAACTAGTAGAAATCATCCAAAGTAATATCTAAAAAGTCATCAAACATAGCATCCAAAAGTCATGCAAATAACAAAAGTCATGCAACAAAAAACTAGTAAAAATCATCAAAGGTAACCAAACTTCCTACCCGCACCCATCACCCACGACTCACAACTAGCAGGCGAAAGTCGTAACCAAACTTTACGAACATTGGCACTTTCACCAAATAGCAAAAAAGCGGTATTGTGTCTTTCATCTTCTTCTCCCCATTCCATTTCTTCAATTTATCCATACATGCATCAACATCCCTATCCATTTCACTTTTTTCAATTCTTTCATTTTTTCCACCAACGACCTTGCAAGCTTGACAATCTTCTCCTCAACTTCTAGCGCCCTTGCATCCTTTTTCCACCAACTTCCTTATTTTTTGAATGCCCTGAAGATTCTTCACTTGCACCTACATGTTCTGTTGCGGTTTCCATTGGAACATCATCATCAAAATCATGGGCACTAAACTCTTCTACATGACGAGGGAGTGTCGAAGATGACCCCCAACTTTGAAATCCAGTCGAGGTCAACCCTTCAAATAGTTGGGTGCAAGGATCAGGGAATATCGGGGGCTTAGTTTTCAATGACAGCACGAACTTGTTCAACTGTTTACAATTTTTATAAATATTAGTATTTGTTATAAAAACAATCATACTAGTATTTGTTATAAAAAAATATTACCTTCCCTTATTCCTTCCATTGTTCATCGGTTAGATTAAATTTATTTTTTATAGGATCATATATATTTCCGGTTTTGTTTTTCAGTTTCACCGAAGCAACATACTTTGATTTGTAGTAGTCAAAGTGGCTTCTCATTTGCTTCTGATCAACATCTTTACCGTGTTCGTTTATCAATTTTTCGTGTATTTTCTTCCATGAACTTTCCTTAAACCCAGAACCCTCACGATCATTAGTGGTTAGTTCATGGATACATGCATCAAGAAATGTTTTATCCTCACACTCCCAAACCAACATCCTAAAACATAAATAACAAGCTAACATAAATATCTAAACATAAAACAATTTTCTACCAATGAGATAAACATAATCCTATATAACAATAGCACAATCAAGGTTAACAGTTTTCTACCAATAAAACCATATACCCAAACAAGATTTCTGATTTCATAGCATTAGAACAAACAAGATTTCTAATTTCATAGCTTATACACACAAAAAAAAAATCTGATTTCATATCTTATACATACACAATTTGAGATTTCATAACATTAGAGCATATATTATACACACAAAAATCTGATTTCATAACATTAGAGCATAAATTATACACAAAAAAAATTATGATTTCATAACATTAGAGCATAGATTATACAAAAATAAAAAGCTTATTTCATAGATTATACACAGAAAAAAATTCTAATTTCATAACTTATACATACATAATTTGGGATTTCATAACATTAGAGCATTAGAAGAAACAAGATATCTGATTTCAAAGATTATACATAATTTTTTTTTCTGATTTCATAACTTATACATACACAATTTCAGATTTCATAACATTAGGGCAAAAAGGATTCGAATTTCAGAGATTATACACAAACATTTCTGATTGCCTAAACATTTTCAGAGCTTTTCGTATTTCAGAGAGTATCCTTACTTGTCTTGACGATTCTGGCCGGAGAAGACGGACGGAGCTCGGACGGAAGGAGGGCAGACGTCCGACTGAAGGAAGAAGACGGCGACTGAAGGAATACGATGGCGATCTGCGGTGATTGGGACCTGTCGAAGGGGAGTTGTCGAATGGAGGCTGTCGTTTTTCTTTTAGGTCACGAGGAGGGAAAAGAGATCGGGGGTAGGGGAAGTCTTTTTCCCAATCAGATGGGCCTTGCAAGCTGACCAATTCAACAATTTCGGCCAGACATGTTGACCAAATCAGCAATATCAAACAACTTCCGTCTGACCGAGTTAGCCGAAATCGCTAACTCATCCCACGGGTATCAAACACAACCTAAGTCAATGGCTCTCTTTTCTGTATTATCAGTGTTTGTTTTATTTAATGTACGAATGCATTTTAAAATGATGGAAAAGACCTAGTGTAAGTCATGAATTTGTAACATCTAATAAACAATATGACACGTTAATCTTTGAGTCAATCAAAATTGTTAATTCATTCATAACTCATCTAAAAAACAATTGGATATTTATAATAACATATTTGTTGAGAAACCAAATACTTCTAAAAAGTCAAAACTGAGACAGGATGGGTGGGGTGTGTTAGCTAATAAGTTAATGACTCTTTTTTTGTATTATCAGTGATTTTTGTATTTAATGTACACATGTATTTTAAAATGAAGGAAAAAGACCTAGTGTAAGAAATCAAATATTTATGATGACATATTTGTTGAGAAACTAAATATTTCTAATGACATATTAATTGAGGAACTAAAGAAATGACAATTTTTATTGGCTAAAAAGTTAACATGTCACATCGTTTATTAGATGTCTCGAATTTGAGACTTACAATAGGTCTTTTTCCTTAATTTTAAAATACATGTATACATTAAATACAACAAACATTGATAATACAAAAAAGAGAGTCATTGGCTTGCTAGCTAACACGCCCACACTTAAAGAGAAGTCATAGTTTCGACTCTTGCCTTCGTTTTTTTCTTTTTTAATTTTAAGTTATTACCTTTTAAAATACCTATTCGTGACTGGCCAATTGCTAAAATGAAATTTTTTCTAAAAAATAATGGCAAATGAGGAACAAAAAAATGTTGGGGCTAAATGCAAACTCATACGTAAATATTGGGGATAAATGTAAACTCATACATAAATGTTGGGCTAAATTCAAACTAAGAAAAATATGAAACCGACACATCATCATGACATGTTGGTGACCGGTCAAGGACCCAAAAACAAAACAAACGAGGAACGAAAAATAAAGTTAGGGCTAAAACAAAACAATATTGTATATATAATGGATAAACCCTTGTAATTAATATCTAGTTTATGGTATGTTATATTGTATGTTTCTTGATGTATGAAACCAAAATAAGTACTTAGATATAAAAAGGTAAGAGTTATGTGTTGTTTGTTTTTTCTGAGGCAAAATGTCTGCAGTCTGCGGACCACATCTGTAGACCTCTGCAGCAGAAGAGGTGGACCAAACGTCTGCGGTCTGAAAAAAGAAGACTGTTTGTTTTTTTAACATCTGCAGACTACTAAAATAAACTAAAATCTAAATAAACTGATTTTTTTAAACTACAAAGTGATTTTTTAATATATTTATGACATTGTTATAAATAATTAACAAATCTAAATCAACTTTTATGTATTATTGTATAAAAAGTGAAAATAAAAATGGTACAAATTAACGTATATATTTGATAAAAACCAACAATTTTGGTCGCAAAGTTATGTCTAAACATTAGAATTAGGAATCAAAGAATTTGATATATAAATGAATGGAAATAATCTTCGACTTTTTTCAATTAGATCAATTAAAAACGTGTCATAAATATTTTTTCTAAGAAATTGACGATGTTTTATTAAATAATGTTTTATAAAATTTGCACAAAAAATATAAGAATATATATATTTTATATATTTATATAAACAACTTCAACGACCATTATTGTAATAAAGTTTTATTTATAAATTTGTCAAAAATATCATGTTTGTGTCGTCGAACTATTTTTTTAAGCATTGTAACTTTTTTTTTTCAAATTGTTTATCATTAATAAAGTTGGAATAAAGATAAATTCAAAAAAACTAAAAAATAAATAAAGTATATGTGTTTTTTTTAGGCTAGAAGATGTCTGAAAATGTTAGAAGACTCTGGTCCGCTCTGCGCCAAGAAGAGGGCGCACAGACATTTTTAGGTATGCAGTCTTCAAAAAAACAAACAGTCTGTAAAGGCTAATGTCTGTGTGTGGTCTGCGCCGCGCAGACAGAAGAGGCCAGGAAGATTTGCGAAAAAAAAAACAAACACCACCTTATTGTCATTGTAGCCCAACGATGTTTAGTATATTAGTTTAAAAGATCCCTCGTGATTTTTTTTGCCTTTTAGGGCTACGTACTTGTGTTTTACCTACTAATAAAAGGATTGATTACATTTTAAACCAGTTTACCAGTTACAATAAACTTATTTGGCTTTTTTTTTTTCTTTTTAAAAACTAAAATTTTAAAGGATAATCTATGTGGCTTTTTTTCTTTTACCTTCTTCTGTGGCTTTTTTTACTGGCCTGGCCCATTTTAGGGCTTGTTTCCCACGTTGTTTGAAGATCATTATCCTGGCACTTCCTCTTCCATTATCATTATCATTATTCATATTATCTCCAGATGGATCGTCAACATCGGAGGATTCTATGGTAATCGATGTCGTCGATTCGTGTTCCACTACTCCTCACCTATTGTCGGGCACTGGTCTATTTTGTTATTCATCTTCTCAATCCTCTAAAATCGATATCCACATTTTCAGAGGCAGATTCCCAGAGACACAAGATCATGTCGCTAACTCTGCTCTAGATGACCAAATCGCACTCGGCGTTCTCGACACGTTACCTCCATTACTCCACGTTCTCCGCTCCGGCTCTGACAGTCCCCGCCATGACTCTGCCTTAGCTCTTTGCCCCTTATCTCTCGTTCAAAGAAATCGCTCAAGTGTTTCAACATGGTGAACTTCAATCAATAATTTCTTGTAACAGAATATGATTTTGGTTTGATTTAAGACTTTAGGATATGTTTGATTTTGTCGATTCTATATTTTGGTTTGATTTAGGACTTTAGGATATGTTTGATTTTGTCGATTCTATATCTGGACTCGTTATTGGTTGTTATTGATCGATTCGTTGATTCTGATAGCAAGATCGTGATTCATGGTTTGGGTATATATGGTTGATCGTAACTTGGCTGTGTTGAAGCCAATATGGATGAAGCAATCAGAAGAGGCAAAAATAAAGAGCGAAGCTCAGAAAGACACAACGGCTAAAGCTGCCTTCGAGGCTACCTTCAAGGACGTTGAGAAGAATCGAGAGCCTGCTCCTTTATCAGATGCTCCTTTACCAGATAATGATGGTGATGAAGAAGACTTGACTAGAAAGCCTATTGAGAGCCATGGTTGCAAATCTGGTTTTGTTTCGGGTGAATTTGGTGTTCGATTTGTTGATTTTAGGGGAGAACGAAGATAGTATGAAGATGCTATCAAGGAAGCAACGAGAGAGAACAATGGCTTTCAGACTGTTCACCACCGACATAGTAAAGCTTGGAGTTCGATTCTATTGCCGACAGAGAAAAAAAAAGTAGAGGTTCTTGAAGTGTTTATAGGGTTTGTTGATCCTTAATTTAACTTAGGTGAAAGAGAAAGATTTTTGAATTTTGGTGAAAGATAAAGAGTTTTAAAGGGTTAGTTTTAATAGGAAAAATCCACGTGGATGACATATGGGCGCCACATGGACCATCAGTTGACCAAATACCACATGACATATCAAAACTGGTGATTAGGAAGGGGTTCACGGGTGACCCCTTCATATTTTTGATAATGACCTTTTAAAACGGTAAAAACACGTGCATACCCTTAAGTGCGTACCCCTAAAAGGCAAAAAAAAATCACGAGGGGCCTTTTAAACCAATATATTAAACATCGTTGGGCTACAGTGACAATAAAATATTATGTACATACTTAAATATAAAAAGGTAAATATTATATACATACTTAGATATAAAAAGGTAAATATTACATACCTACTTAGATTTAGTAAGCTAAACGTTACAATTTCTAATATCTCTGTTAAATATTCCATCTACCATACACCTACCGCTCTTTACCATCATTATATAAACATGTTAAATATCATTACATATCCCATATCACTTTTCTTATTACTCATCAATGTCCATAAATCTCACATAACTTTCAAATTCGCTCCCCAAATACTAGAGGATGTCCGAAAAGATAAAGAGTATTGTCCAAACTCGAGAAACATATTATGAAAGAGACCGAGACAATATTCTTGAAGAAATTGTAGAGAAGAACACACGGCTTAAGAAAACAAAGAATAAGTCGTACGAAAAAATAGTTAGCCAAATCCAAATGACACACTAATTTTCAAGACTCTGTTTTCCGTATTCTACGGGAAGAAAAAAGAAAGCAAAATTCTCGTATAAGTGTCCAGAGTTCAAAAGAATAAAAAATAAGCAGCTAATGTTCATACGTATCAGTTCTAAGTTCTAAGTAACGGTTGTATTTTCTTATAGTTTCAATTTAAATACTTTGAAAATATTTTCGATTTCAATTTAGGTTTAACTATCTAAATAAATAATATAACATTATCTTTAAAATAAAATAGTTCGAAAATGAAATTTCCAAATAAAGTTACCAACCATTTTAATTTTTTATTATTTTTCTCTGTATTTTAGAACTATGTTTAGATAAAATAATTCAAAATTTTCAGAAACTACAAATATCCGAAAATCGTAGTCTCGGAAAAATCAGTAAATATACAAATGTCCAAAACCTACGGTAATTTTGCATGATATATTGATTTGATAGCAATGGCTGGAGCCGCTGGCCTGAGGTAGGGCCAATTTGGTTGCCGCGAATTTCGAAAACCCCAATTAATGAAAAGTGGTTTTTGCCCCGTCAATTACCTCAAAGCCTGGCCCCATTCTCTGCAAAATTGGAAGGTTTTTGACATATAAAAAGACAAAATCAAAATAAATATCAATTTCCTTATATTTAATATTTAAATAAAAATATATTAAACTGTGATTTGATAATATCTACTTCAAAATCATCAATATTTACTTAATTTGGCTGTATTTTGTTGAAAAGTATATACGGTTTTCTTTTTTGTCCTTAAAATAGTTATTTTTCTTATTAAAATATAGAATGTTACTCGTCTAAGAAAAAAGGTAATTATTTAGCAAAGTTAGAGGTTGTTGTTTTTTTTGTTATTTTAGTACTAATTGTTATTTGATAATTACATTTTTTTTTTATATTTTATTCAATGTTTTGAAAACCGGACTAGACATCGAACCGGTGTTCTTACCGGTTTAATGGTTCAACTGGTCCGACCGGTCCAAAAACCGAAAAAACCGGAATATATATATATATATATATATATATATATATATATATATATATATATATATAACATTAAAAATAACTATTAGTGTAAACAATTAATATACTAATTTAGAAATTGTTGATTCTTATGTGAAGTTGTCATAAAATATTCATCCGTATTATATCCCAAGTAGCATCTTGGATAGATGGTTAACTTGGTTGGCATTTGTTGAACCATTTCCATAGTTCGAAACTTATTATTGACAAGTATTATTTTATTTACCAGCTACATCTCTTACAAGAAACATTTGCCAACTTAATCCTCTATATAATGATGGGTCAACCAAAGCAGACATTAACCAATCAGGTAGGTTGTTCTGTTAAATGGGTTGGACCCCGAGTTAAAAACTTATGAAACCGGTTTTAAGGAGGGTTCGATCGAAACGGTTGAACCGCGGTTCGTAGAAAACCGGCGGTTTTAAACAGTTTGACATACAAGCTGTTTTCGGGGTCTAAAAAACCGGTAAGCAGGCCGGTTCCCGATTCAACTGGTCGAACTAGCCAGTCTGGTTCGGTTTTTAAAACAGTGATTTTATTGTATTTTTAATTATAAATGAAGTTTTGCAATATAGTTTGGGGCTTGTTCGGCAGCGAGTTTTTTAAAGTTTTTATAAACTTTTATTATTTTGATTTTTTAAGAAAAAACTCGAATAAAAAAAAGTTTTATAAACTTTTATAAAGTTAAAATTAATGTTTTAAAAACCGGTTTGAACCGGCCGGTCGAACTGGAAACCGGAGAAATAAGCGGCTCAACTAGCGTCAGTTTTATGTTTATTTTTGAACCGGAATGAATCGGTCGGTTTTTACAAAAATTCGGTTAAACCGGTTAAGTTAAACCTGTTAAACCGGTTAAATTAAATAAAAATACATGGAAATGAATCATTTTCATAACAAACTTTAATTTTTTCTTTTCATATTTATTTAGATTTCTTTGAATAAAAACACATGGTAAATGTTATAAAAAAATTTAATGTGTTTGTATTTATTTAAAACTATATTTTGTTTCTGTATTATAAGTTATTATAGTATTTTTGATATATGTGGATTGATGTAGAACTTACGGTTATGTGTTTTTAATATATTTGGATTGATTTTCAAATTGTATTTATCTGTTTTAATGTTTAAACTTGTGGATGTCTATGTGTGTGGATGAAAATAGAAAAAATTTTAAAATTATAGAAATCGGTTGAATTAACGGTTAAATCGGTTGAACCGGGAATCGATCACCATATCGGTTCAACTAAAAAATCGGTTTTTAAAACATTGGTTAAAATGACTTCACAGAAGTTCCACATCACAACTTGATTTGGAAAGTTGAATTACTTTAGTAAGTGAAATGAGAAATATAAAGTGTAATAACAAATGAGATGATCCATTAAAGTATACTATACATGCTACCAAGATTAGAAGGTGATAATAGAGTAATAGTAATAGTAATCTATGACTAATATCAAATTGTCACGAGGAACGAATCTACCTCTATCCTTACAATAAAACAATAGTTCCTGAAATCCACTTGTCACTTCTGTAGCATCCCACCTCATCATATGCCACGTGTTGTAACATACACATTTAGTTATCGTGTTTTGTTAGTTTAAAAAGTGAATAATATTAAGAAATATTATATGATATTAAGCGTTGAGTTCTAACAAGATAGTTTTTATGAGATTTGATGTAAAACTATGTTTAGAATCGTTCAGAAAGTGATGGGAAGTCTTATGAGATTCCGATCAAAAGTTAACTATTGAAATTAACGCAAATATAAAGTTGAAAATAAGTAAAATTATATTATTAAAAGTTGTAAAGAATCTCGTTAGAAACGTTTAGGCGAAAACCTCGTCGAAATCCGAGTTATAACGAAGAAGTTATGACTTCTTAAAGTTTCGCGACAGAACCGACACAACGCCATAAGACGTAAAAAATGAGTTTTTGATAAACTACTTTTTAGAATTAGTGATCTAAATGAAAGTCGTAGTATTCATTAAACCGAGACTTTTCATAAAAAGAACGTCCAAATCTGACTTCGTATGAGGAAGTTATGATTTTTCTAAGTTTCGATATAGCAGTATACAGCTAAAAAACTCGAAATAAAGATCGAGTGAGTTTTAGCCGGCACAACCTAAATGAGAATCGAAGGTCTCGTCAATAGTAGTACAACGGTAAAAAGACAGACGAAAACGAACGTCAGATGAAGAAGTTATGAATTTTTAACGGACTTTTCCTGTCTCGGCCCGTTAAAAATATAATATTAAAAATAAAGTCAAAATTAGCAGACGGAGTCTAAACAAAAGTTGTAGAGCATAATTTCACCTACGCGTGGATATAAAGAACGTAAAAAATGGAGCTCGTATGCGAAAGATATGGATTTTTGAAGTTCAGAGCACAAACTTCGAGACCTGACTGCGTTCACGGCGTGAACAAGCATGGTTCACGACTTGAACTACTTGAACGACACCTCTCAAGCCTAGAAGACACACGGCAAGCCTAGGGTATGACCGGGATCAAACTCACGACGTGAACCTCAAATTTTGACCTATAAATAGAGGGCCAACCCTCTTACTTCCGTTTACGCAAAAACACAACCCTCTCTCTCGTATTTATGATTTTGAGCTATTTTCCCGAGCCGACGATCGCTAGCTGCTGACAGTGTTTAGTCACATTCTACCGGCAAAAATGCTCTTTAGGGGTAATTTCATCGCAACATCCGATTATTTCACGGTGAGTTTAATATATAGGAACAATTATATGTTATGTGTTATATGTGCTTTGTGTTTTTCCGTGTTATCATCTTGTGTTATTATTTCTGCTATTTTGATAGCAAAGTTGTACCTTTGGCCATATGATCAGTGAAAGGACTTAGATTCACAGTGATATTGGTATGTAGCCTTTGGCCGTGTAGAGCATGTCTCGCAAGAGAATGACTTCTACCCCTATGGCATTGGCAGAAGGTTAGATAGGGCTGAAAGCCTGAAATCTACCAAAATGTTTAATCAGCAATTGTATGTCTTCTGTGCCATTTGGGCCGAAGTTTTGTTGATGTATATCAAGTATTGAAATTGTTAT